CCTGCTTTTAAAATGACTTACTGCTCTATTGGTAATTTTTTTTCCCCAAACTTAAGATTGCAGCCAAGTATAACCACAAAATGATTGCTGTCCTCAGCCACTAACAATCTGCAGAGTTTCTGGCTGTTTCAGCCATCAATCTCATTCAGCTGACTGATGGAAGAAGCAAATGAAGGACAAGAAATCCACTTCAATAAAATCAGCTGCTTCTCTTACAAAATTCTCCAGCTTCCAGCTAATAGCTCTTCTCAAGCTAATAATGCCAGTTGGTTTCCCAAGACACCAAGAAATGAAGAGACACCCCTCTGCTTCCACCCTCTGGCCAAATTTGGCCAGGATCACTCAAACACAACCCATCACCCCATGGTGCATTTTCAGATCAAGCTGTTCCTTTTTCCAGAAGTCCTGCCTGGTCTTCCACATATTATAACTTCTTGTACAGTTATTGTAAGAACTTCTGTGCCACTAAGTTGAAGTGCAAGGAAGGAAGAATATCTCAGTAATAAGGGACTTCTCATTTTCATTACTTCCCCTCCTTCTTTCCAATTACATACAAATAATAAAGACTGACTGCTGGCAGTATTACTTGTGCACCAGGTCAGCAGGACTCATTAGTACGGAGCTTCCCAAACTGTGGTCCATGAACCATCAACAGCAGCAAAGCCAGAGCAAGAGACCCATAGCTGGACCCTGGAATAAGATTCAATAGGTTCTTTGGTTTTCTCCACACAGATCCTAGGGCATTCACTAGTGCCACCTGCCACTTCCTTGGCTCTGTTTCCATACATTTTAGATTTGCACTTTGTGTCTCACAAGCCAAGATAAAGCATTCCCAGGAATTTAATACTGAACAAATGGCAAAAGAAAGCAAAGTGACTTATCTCGTCATCCAGAAAGGTGGAAAGCAGAGCTCCAGCTGCTCATCCCAGCCACAGTGTCCAGCAGATGGCAACTCCCAAGTTTTCAAGCTATCAGAGAATTCCCCTGTGTCTTTGGGTGCCTACCCAATGGAATCAGAGCCTTTATATAACTTTTTGAAGGCTTTGACTGCTTTGTAATACATACAAATTTAGTATGTTTTAACAACAGAAAGGAGACACAGGCACAGAAATGATTAATGGTAAGTTTGATAACAAATAAACTTCTTTGCCTCCTTTCTTATTGTCACTGTCTCCCCTATATAACTTCTAACAAAAGCATTCTGCAAACTGTGCTTGACTGAATTTCTCCATTGGTTAAAGCACTACCTGAAGAGTCAGACAAAGGTACTCAAATTGGTACCAATCTAGCCGGTTTTCCCTAGCACAGGATCTAAGGAAAGCACAAGCCACCTGGCAACACGAGTCTTCGAGTCTTGGAGGTTTGGGAGTTAGAAGTCGAAGCAAGTGGGAATGCTGCATAAGCCAAGGGGATTAAGGGGATGACCTTTTTCTTTCTGTAGCATTCTCTCAGCCTTTAGGATATATCCCACCTTTTCCTAACAACAGCAACAAAAAGAGAAGGCAAGCAGAGCCTTGGATCAAAAGCACAGAAAGAAAACAGTTCGTTGTACTGACTGTAAAGAAACGCTGGATGTCCGGAGGACAGAGTGAGGAAAACAAATGTTCTTCCCTGGGTATTTCACAGTGAAATACAAATATTTCATTATGAAATAAAAATAGTCTGCTCTGCAATCATCTGAGGTGATCTTCAGTCTCGAGGGTTCAACAATTCAACAAATGAAAATCAAAGTCCATAAAAATGAATGAAATCAGACAAGTATGATGTATCAGGTGACAAAAGTTATTTTGGGAGCTTACAAACCAGTGCAGTGATACAATGATGGCTCCTATACATCTGGCAATATTCCAAGAAATGGTCTCTGAATGGCAATTCCCATTAGAGTGGCAGTGCTGCTCTCTATTAATGTTTTGCCTGCGTTTCAATATCTTAATACCCCAGAGTAGTTGCAAATGCATCAGGAGCAATTTGCACAGGACTCTTCATGAAGAAATGAGCTATTCTAGGAGTATCCACTTTTTTTCTCTACATGTAATAGCTGCTAGTCTACTGTACCAATGGACTGATTCAGCACCAACAGTGACAGGGCATTTCAGCCTCTGACACTTGTGAAGGAGCTTTGTTCTCCCTTTAACCATCAGAAAGGGGAGGAGAAATTCGCTCTGTTTTCACAGTTATATGACAGCTCTTAAAAATTTTACAGCATGAGCACTGCACCTAATGCAACAAAGCCTGCCAGGAACACTTAAAATCAAGGTCTCAGAGATTTTGTTTCCTATAAATTCACCAGTATTCTAAGAAAAGGATCTTTTCCTCAGAAATGCAGTACCAATCCCACTGGAATTGCACAGGACTGAGGACTGTTTTTCTGTCATACTGTGGAAAAGATAGCTGAAAGTACTGGGAAATAGGCTGTAGGGATGCTCAAGATGTACTAGAGTTAATGAACAGGAAGAGGAAGAAGACAATACGATTTCTGAAGGAAATCAAAGCATTTGCTCAAAACAATAAAAAGCAAGAACAACCTATAATAGGCATTTAATTCGATTAATGTAATGACTGCTCTCAATACATGAAAATAACTGCAGTTTTTATTTGGAGGTCAAAGCATGAAAAAAAAAGTCCTCTTCCTACTTAAACTCTTGTTTGTCACTAACCAACCACCTAGAGAAGGGTGGAGGGGAAACGTGGAGCCAGCAAAACTTCTGCGAGTGTGTATGCAAAGAAAAATCCTGTTTTCTTGCAGAGATGCTTTTCCTTTAATTTCACAAAGTTAAACATGACAGATAACTGACAGCACGATGGAAAACAAAACAACAGCATCATCAACGTGTAATCACTCTAAGATTTTTGATCAGTAGAAATGGAAATTTTTTTCTGCTTTTACTAAGGATAGGTCAGCTTAAGCCAGTACTTTTAAAAATCATCCATTTTAGTTACTTTCCACACTGTGAGAGGTGAAGAGCTGCATCTATTATAACTACATGCTGTGCAAACTTCATTTGGACATGATCATCATCAATCACTCCTGCTGTGCAGGTAGCATGTGAAAGGGAAACAAAACAGAAATCGTGCTGCAGTATTTGACACCACCCACTCCTCTGCTCGTATGCTTTAGTTCATGAAGAGCCCTGTTGACACACAGTTATTCTCTTTTTGGGACCCCTGTCTTTTCTCTCCCTCCAAGCATAGCTTGGAATAGCTCTGATGGTTTCAGGGGGAAAACAAAAACCTTCCCTTCTCTCTCAAAGTATTAAAGCTTTCCTACTGAAAAGCATGCCAAAGATAAACTACTATGTGCCACCTTGCCTTTGGAAATACACACACATTATTTGCAGCAGTATCTCTTCTTATCACATGTATATGCTTCAGTGGAAAATGAATACTGTAATAGGATTCAGAATGCCTGTATCCTTTGTGGCAGTGCCGTGCCCAGTCCTGAAAAGAGCTATTAATGCCAGTACCCAATTGCTTTTCTCTAGCAGACACTTCAACTAGCTGTCAGTGTTATAATCTTGACCAGGGACAGTCAGTAGAGGTACAAGGCTTAAAAGAATAAGGAAGATAATGTTCATCTTTTTCAGAAAGGTTCAGAGAAAGCTGCAATAAACATTAGAAAATTTTTAGGAAAGCAGAAGCAACCAGAGTCAGCCTTGAAAGACACACTGCAGTCTTACCAACACACTTTCTACCAGCTTACTCAGGATGAAAAGATAGCACCCTCATTGTGGTTAGTACTCTGCCAATTCAGTGGACTCAAACTAGTTTATCACACCCCGACTCCCTGGTATGACTCAGGTCAGCAGAAGTTGCCTGCACTTTGTATTTTCTGATGCACTGCAGCATGCCAGGTTTTAAACAGCTGTACAGCAGTGCACACTAGAGAACAGCTCTTTGCATCTAACTCACAGCCCTCCATGTACTCCATCAATTCATTAGAGCATAGGCAATCAGTAATACAGACATGGTAACATACAACTGCAAACATATACCCTCTCCCTAAGTGCCAGGACAGAAGTGGTGTCACTTTATAACATGCCTTATTTGCTTCAGCATGTTAATAAACCACTTGGGAAGAACAAGCCATTTAAAGGCACCTCCTGATGATCTCGTAACAGACTCTCCCACATACAATTCTGGACAGGAGACACTGAACTACAAACCACTTCCTGCCCCAACAATCATGCTACTCCCTTTTTAACAGGACAAACAGCGTTTGTGACTCAACCCCCCCCCAGTGAGCTTCTTTAGTCTCCAGCTACAGCCTACGCTCCATGTCATGGGAGTGAAATGCCCAACCAGCGTGTTGTTGACAGCCACCTCATTTATCAAAAACGTGATACAGAGATGCACATCCATGTGTCCTGCTGGCACACGCATGCCTCACAGAGATTTGTAAGCTCCTCCACAGAGCAGCAGCCTCAGAAGCAGTGAGGAGGGCTCTGGTCTCCCTCCACCCTTCAGAGCCATGTCTTCAACAGGGAATGGCAATGCCAGGACCCATCACCGACTGGGACAGAGAATGATTACCTGGAGATTCCTGACACAGGTTTTCATATTGTGGTGTACCAAGTGTGACATCTGCAATATAGCAATGGACATTAACATGTGCTCAACTCTACAATTATGAATGGCCTCAGCAGTTTCTGTAGGACTGTGCATGACTTTTGAGGCAAGCACACGTGAGAATGAAAGATCAGGGCACAAAAAACCAGTGTACAGCTCCCACTGGGAAAAGTGATGAAGGCATTCATGCAACTGGCCTCTAAAACCACATTCTTCTGCCTTGTATCACAGTTTTCAAAAGCAGCTGAAGGTCAGGAAAAGAGAGGATGAAGAAAATCCTCAGAAGGCTGTCTACACAAATTAAAGAGGCCAGACATCACTTTGTTCAACTTCCAAGTTTAAACTTTTAAGTTTAAAAGAAGCAACAAGTTCACCTTCCATCTTAGTAAGCAGACACAAAGGTAACCATCTCACAGTTTCAAATGTGTACTCACCCAGAAGAGAAGGTTGAAAACAAACATTAGGTACTTGATACACTGCAGGCAGTTGTGAGCCATGCTGCACCTCTTCAGTTCTAGGAGAAAAATAAATGAGAGATCCAGGTAAAAGACAACGTACTTGTTTCCCTTGGGGGACGTGTACTTAGCCTTGGTGGCCTTTGGGCCTGGGTTGGTGTGGAATCCAAAAAAAGAGTTGCTGGCAGCCCCAAACTGGCCACCATACATGCTGCTGTAGCGACGAAAGGTGCCATTTGGGAAACTGTAATCCTTGCTGTCCAGGGAAGGGCTCCTGTGATAGGTCGACTCATCGGTGCTAGACCTGCGCATGGTGGCTTCAGCTGTCCCTTCCACTGCTGCTCTGACAGCTGCCGGGCGTCGATGGCGCGGGTGAAAGGTCTGTGATCTTCTTTCCTCCTCCTTGCTACGAATCCCCTATTGCTTTGCACCAGCTGTTCTTTTGTCTGCCATCCTGTCAAGGAGTTACGTCTGCTGTACGGCAGCAAAGTTGGTGAACTGAAGTCTGCTTAGCCAGGAGTTAGGGAGCAGCGTGCTTCCACATGAGAAAGACTTCTGCACAAGTAAACATTCCCGTCACTGTCACAATCGTCCCTCCCGGCCCACCCCGCTACCAGGGAAGAAAAAATCAGAGAGAGATATACTGTACCCAAAGCAAAGAATTTTAAAAAAAGGAAGTGTGACCTCGCTCGGCTCCCAAATGCCATACAAAACCCCGGCTCCGCATGCCACACACAAACAGGAGAGTGCCGCTGCACGAGACCCGCGGCAGGGACAGGTATTATCCAAAAGGCAAGCAGCTCCCGTGGCCCTTTCCTCCTCGCCACATCGCTCTGCCCCGAGACGCCGAGCTCACTATTCAGCATCCCCTGCATCCCTTCCACGCGGCGGAGGAGCCCCGTGGCACGCAGCCGCCGGCGCTCCATTCCCGGCGCGGCCGCCCCTCCTCCGAGCGCCGGCGCCAATGGCGCTCCCCTGGCCCGCCCGCGGCCGCGCCCTCCCGCCCCGGCCCGGCCCGGCCGCCCGGCCCGCGGGCACATAGCGACCGGCCGCACACCCCGCCGACCGACAACCCTCCCCTACGGATGGGGATTGCGGCGGGAACCCCCGCCCGGGGCAGGTCTTGGGCGCGGTCCCCCCACGCTCCGAAACTCTGAGCACGGAGAGTGAACCTGGTGCAGGTGGGTCCTGAGGCTGCCCGGATACACCGACGGCGCTGCCGAAAGGAACGGGAATAAGTAACCGCTGTAAAGATTTCGCACGCGTAAGCGCTGGGGATGCTTTGGGGAGAGCGGGGTCAGGACAGGCCGTGCTCCCCTTGCCGGAAGGCTTGTTTGTTCCACTGCAGATCCATCACCGGGATTTTCCTAATTCGCTCAGTCCCACAGAATCATCACTCAGCACAATGTATGGCCAGCTCATTTGTCCCCCTGTCAGGTAAGGTACTGATCGGCATCATGCTCAGTACGCTGGGGAGCACTTCCCTAAAATCTGACAGCTCCCACCGGCAGTAAAGAGTTGAAAATCTGCCACACACAACTTTTTCAGAAAGGAAAAATCTTACTGAAACTGTGGGAATTACAGTATTAACACTCAGGAAAGTAAGACTCATTTACCATCTTTGTCCCAAATTCCCTGTGAAAGTAACTCACTTGTCTCTGTAGTGCCACTTCTGATCTGTGAAACGAGCTGGCTTGTCTCTGCCTTCCTCCTCTCCTCCTCTGTCTGCCCTTTGATTTTGACTGTAAGCTACTGGAGCCAAGTGAAAAGATGGCTGGCTAATATTTTTTAAAAGGCTTGCCCCAGCAGAGAATTAATCAAGATGAAAACAGGTTTCTTGCATGAAGCATCTTGCAAGTATCAGCACAAACTGAGAGACACAGGCACCAATTAATTAAAGAACAAATTAGTAAAAGTAAAATGAGCTGGTTATGCACATAGCCTGAGCAGTTCACCCTTGCAAACCACCCTCTAATTCTGTTAATTTACAAACTGCAAACCTAGAGTCTAATTATTTCTCATTTCATCCACAAACTATAAATACACTGACCATACCTGGTGCAAGCTTTAGAAAGAACTGAGCACAAAACACGAGGGTAGTAACTCCTGTGCCATCTATTTCAACAACTTAAAACGTTTCCACTTTTTAATTTCCCTACCCTTAAAATTAGAGAGACTTCATAGCCCTGATGGAAGTCAGTTTTCTACTCTTCCTCCCTCCCTTTCTTGCACAGTACAAACTCTATCCCCATAAAGGAGTCCTTCTTTCCTAGCACATAAAGATGGTCCCATGGAAGCAGGTCTGTTCTCACTCTGAGTTTCCAATATACCATTAATTTTTCCTGTGGCACCAGACAGTTCTGCCTCCAACCTTCCTCCTCATCTCTATTGCAAATAGACCAGTTTGGCAACAGAAACCAAAGGTGATTCAAATATTTTCTACATTGCCTGTAAGTATACAAAAATGCCTATGCAAAGAGCTTCATATTAAATGTTTTTTCTCAGCACACAAATTATGCTGAAACAGTGACAAGTCAGATAACTGTTATTTAACAAGAGTGTCCATGGTATTGCATGTAAGGGAGGAGAATTTAGCATATTTACCATAAACTAGACATCTGAAACCCTGAAGGCAGCTCATTTGCTATCTGGATAAGAAGAGACTTAGAAATCACTTGATATCACCTTCCCTTGAGGCAAGAAATCATCAATTCTTAAGAAATTAAGTCCTTAATATCGGTGGAATAATTTATAAAGCCAAGATCTGAGGTACAAAGGAGAGTTTCTAAATGTTGCTTTTAAATAATAAGTAATAAACATCGACACACTGTGGATATATTTCAGACAGCTACAGAAGAATGCATGAGGAAGGCAGAGGTCCTGCATGACCGATAAAATAAGGGTACTTTTACTCCAGTCTCCTTTCAGCATCATCCCTTAGCAGACCTCTTGGAAATGACAACTTTTTAAAGGCCCTTTAGTGTAAAATTTAGTTCTCAAGTCATTGCTGTTTGTTCTTTCTCGTGCCAATACCAACAACTAATTAAAAACAGATTCATTGGGGATACAGACATTATACAGATCCAGAATCATTTTTTTATTACATCTTCCATGTTAGGAAACCCAATCAGAATCATTAACCTAAATGGGAAATCCTTGGGATAGCAATGTTGTTCCAGCAGGCTAACCATAGCTTGGATGACATGCTTATGTGATGAAGTAAGATCCTGCATGGGAATTGGGGAAAAACAAAAAGAGAAGGGCTGATGTACTCTACTCTTGCCCATCCCTGGTGTAAAGTGGATGAAAGGCACATGCTGGTACCCACATTTACATTTAAGCTGCTTAACAATAAAGTTATATATGAAAGAAGAAGAATACACTTTGGAAGCATTGCCATTATGGCCATTATGCCTATAAGGGTGACTCAAGGGGCAGGTGAATCGAAGCTTTCACAAAACTTTTTTTAATGACTGAGCCTAAAATCACAGCCACATCACTGGACTTAGTGACCTCTGTTCACCTCTGCTTAACATCTACGTTTTCTCTCCCTAACTACATCTGTATATTCCCATCCTGTGGCCAATTCATATTGATTCCTCTACACAAGAAAGCAGGCACTGTGCAATCTCGCCGGCAGAGGTTCAATTTGTATTGATTGTGGTGGCACGCTACCATTTAGGTTATAACAACTCTGTCCCTGCTGCTCTGAGTGGAGGTCTGGTAACCCTTCAACATCTCCAGCCAAAACCCTGCCCCTGAAAGAGGAGAGGCAGCACTCTGACTCTACTGACACCAGATGAACTCCAGGCAATAAAGGTTTGGGCATCAGCAGCAAATCTGTTAACTGTGTTATCCCTCACACCCTTTATCTGAGCAGCCTCACCTGAAGACAAACACCTACGTGTTCAGCCCACACTTCCCACCTCAACTTAACCTTGCAGCCACCACAGACCCCACTCTCTTAGCCAAATCTACTTCCAGTTTCCTAAGCTGTTCTTGTTGCTGTGCTCAGTGTCCTCGCTGCCAGCCCCTACTCCATTGCCTCCGCTCGTCATGGCAACATTCCTCCTTTAAAGGGGCCATGGGCACCTGGGCCAGTCAGGATGGAGTACATGCAGTGCATATGCAACAGGTACATGTGAGAGCACAGGCAGCAGTCCCAAGTCCCAGGTGGGCTGCAGCTGCAGAGTGCTGCTGGACCCTGACCCCAGGACAGGGGTATTACCACTGCCAAGGCTTGAGCAGGCTTTGTGTGTGGACTCTGAGCTTAAGTGATGGTTAATACATCAAAACTTTCTACCAGGGATGCCAAAAAACCCTGCTTGTCCCCATAATTTTGGTGAGAGCTGCCTTCTGGCCCACTTCGGCCCTCAGCTCATCTTTGGCTCCTCTTTTTGTGTACCATGTTTTTCCAGACCCAGCTTCTTTGCCTGTTCCATGTTCAGGGCTTTCCCTCCTCATGCCTCACTGTGTGTGATTCCTCTGGACCCAAAGGAACCATCAACTGAAACCAACCAGTATTTCAATATCATGTTGAATCAGGCCTTCCTTTTACCCATTTTGAATCCTGCTTTCTCTTCCTCCTCCATGATTTAACTCTCATAATCACAATACACTAGTGCCTTCAGGTCACACAAAATGCAGCCACTAACTTGCCTCCTCATTAATTTAGTCTCATAAGTCCTTTAACGGTTGCAAAGGCTTTCTCCCTACTAATGCCTCTTGTCACTGTCTTCAAAACTCTACATACCTGCTCCATCCTCCTAATGAAACAATCCACTTGGCATTAACATCAGTAGACTATTTGTTAAGAAGTGATTTGTGAAATAAAATAAATTTTAAAGAATCCTGCTAGAAACTAATACTGAAATATACTGTAAAAATACAGTACGTGACAACTGCTCCTGTTCTGCAACAGGGGGGTGTACAAAGCCATGCATGTGACAGGTGACAGTCATTCCCAGTAGTTTCAATGAACAAAATGTCAAAAATGACTAAAAGAGTGGTCCTCTTTTGTGAGTTATTAGCTTTGCTTCACACCACAACATTGAAATCAGCTAAGGGTGATCAACTGATAAATACACTCCAAGTGCTGAACTTCATAATTTCATGTACAGAGATCACCACACAAGAACGTTGTGTGCAATATGCCTGGAGAGCAATCCCTTCTTTCCTCCCCCAGTGTACTCTTTGCAGCTACCTTGTGGTTCCATTTGATTCAGTGGTGCAGGCTTTGTAAAAACTGTGCCTCTTCCAAAGACTAAGAGAAACATTACCTCTTCTGACTGGAGGGTGAACCAAAGTTCAGGGGGAAGCTGGCTGTTTCAGCTGGGAGGAAAAAGCCTTGTGATGGAGTCTTTGATTTGTTTCCTTATGTATATTCATTTTGCATGAATAAAAATGACTAAAAGCGCAAGGCAAAGGGAGTGAGAATACGATTTTTAACCTGACAGCCTCACACTGCCACAGGCCTTCAGTCTCTGCTCAGCCCTGGCCAGTACTGTTTAATGTCTTTATCAGATATTAAATTAATGTCTTTATCAAATCGAGTTCACCCTCACCGAGGCCACGGAAGACACTAAGCTGAGTGGTGCAGCTGACACACCTGAGGGACGGGATGCCATTCAGAGGAACCTGGATAAGCTCAAGAAGTGGGCACATGGGAATCTCATGGGGTTCAGCAAGACCAAGTGCAAGGTCCTGCACCTGGGTTGGGGCAACCTCCAGCATCAGTACAGGCTGGGGGATGAAGGGATTGAGAGCAACCCTTTGATGATAGACTTGCAGGTAATGGCAGATGAAAAATGTGTCTCCCTGCAGCCCTGAAAGCCAACCACATCCTGGGCTGCATCTAAAGCAGCATGGCAAA